ATTATATATTGCATTGTTTGAATTATAACCGTATATATTTATTTAACATTTCATGTCACTATATTATCTCTCTAATTAAATTATAAATACCTAAAGATTAGAAGTACAACCTTTATCTTTAAAAACACAGCAAAGGCTGAGTGTGGTGGCTCACACCTCACACCTCACAGAACTTTGGGAGGCTGAGGCAGAAGGATTGCTTGAGGCCAGGACTTCGAGACTAGCCTAGGTAGCAAAGCAAGACCCTGTCTCTATAAAAAAAAAATTTTTTTTTTAATTAGCCAAGTGTGGTGGCTTGCACCTATAGTCCAAGCTACTTGGGAGGCTGAGGTGGGAGGATTTCCTTGAGTCCAGAAGTTCAAAGTTGCAGTGAGCTCTGATTGTGCCACTGAATTCCAACCTGGGTGACAAAGCAAGACCCTATTTTAAAAAAATAAAAATAAAAACAAAAAAAAATGAGACATTTTTAACAGATATATCTCCTGATCACATCTTAAAACTATAAAATGAATTCATATTTTTATTCCTATCCCCAGTGATCCTTTTCTAAGCTTCGTCCCAAGGATTGTGAGAAGTCCATCCCTACCTAGTCTTCCACTTGCCAAGAAACCACAAGAACCCAGGAAGAATGCTTGCATGTTCTGCAAAACTGCAACCTGGCCGGTTGCTCGTCCCTTCTGCCAACCTCCTAAACGTTGGCTAGATCACCGAAGGGTGGCTGGAAACTGGAGGTCACAGTCCCATAACTCTCTTTCAGGCTTTCTCTTGCAGCAACAATTCACTCTAGGCATGGATTCAAATCTCCTCTTTCATTCCCAAAACACAGCTAAGACCAGGCAGTAGTGTTTAAAAAAATACATCTCTTAACACTTGGAGAAGGAGTGACACACAGGGCTGCTTCTTCTGCTTTTCATCTTGGCTGACCTGAGGGGTCACAACTGGAGAGTTGTTACCTCCTTCCAAAGGGAGGCCCCAGCCTGACCCAGACATCTGCACAGCCCAGAGTCCAGCCCTGCAGTTGCCTGGGCCCAAGAGCAGATGAGGCCTTCTCTTTTGCAGCCTAAGGTCCAAAGCTTGTTCATTGCCACAGGAGGCATTTGTTTCCTTTAGAGAAGAAAAAAACATAATTTCTAGTCACAAGATGGATTTTACCCTTCAAAGGAAACTTCGGATCAAGACTTCTCTCCACCCCCACTATTACCATCATTAAGCTCCCACCTAGCCTGCTTCGGTAGTATTTTTCTAGCTCCCAGCTTACACCATGGTTACCTTACAATCTTTCACCACACAATAGTCAGTATAAGCTTTATAAAGTGTGAAGTGGATCACATAATTTCCCTGCTATCTTAATTTGGACTCCCCCTGATTCAGATCCACAGCCAAAAATTCAAGTGAAAGTAGTTTACTTGGGAGACGAACTCAGGGAATACTGGAAGTGGGGTAGGGAAGTGGGATAGGAAAGAGAAGAAATACAATAAAGGGTATATGGTCAAGCAAGTTACCATTCTGCCAATTAAAATTTATCTCTAAACTCAGGGAAATAGAATGAACACACATCATAGTTACTCGGCCAAAAGAATAAGGAAACCAGAATATTTATACATCAACTTCCCTCAGTGGTTGGTTGTAAACTCCCCTGAAAGTTGAGAGTGAGGAGTTAAATCCCCAACACCTCTAGGCTGCCGCACAAGCAGGAAAAGCAGTTCTGGCTTCTAAAGAAAGGTTTTGCGGGAAAGAGTCACCATGGTGGGATTTGAAAGTCAAGCTGACAAACCAGGAAATGGCATGTGCAGGGCACCAACGGCATCTGCTATGCCTACTTAAACCACTCCCGGCACTTCCCTCCTGTCGTCAATGCAATCTGAACTCTCAAGCACAACTCCTAGGCTCTTGCTTATCATGGTCTCTCCACACGTGTCACTCGCCCTAGTGTGGGAAGCATCACTCCCCCTCGCATGGTCTCCCACGCATGGTTAACTCTCGGTCTTTGCTCTTTTCCTGTTAGAAGGACCTGACTGAATCTGTCAGCCAACTGTTGTTCTCTGAACTTGAAGTAAGAGAAACTTTAATCACTTGCAGACACATTAACTCATCTTCTTATTTTAAAAATGTTCTTTTACTGGAACCCAGGAAGACAAACTTGCAATCATAGCTTACCATAGCTTGGAACCCCTGGGCTCAAGTGACCCTCCTGCCTCAACCTCCTGAGTAGTTAGGACTATTCAGGAGTGTGTGCTACCACACTCAGCTAAATTACAATTTCTCAGCCTTGGAACTGTTGACAATTTGAGCCAGATAAGTCATTGTTGGGGGAGGGGGCTATATGGTAGGATATGTGTTCACCAGCATTCCTACCTTTTACCCATTAGATGCCAGTAAGCAACCCCTACTCCTGTTGTGACAAACACAAAAGCAGCCCAAGGAAAGGTTTCAAGATCCCATATCCTGCCACCATGAAGGACAGAGTGCTTCTTGCTACTAACAGAATTTACCTGTAGGCCCCCTCCTAGTCTCAAATTAGGTGAGAAAGAGGGCAAAGAAGAAGAATATGTATGCAATATAAAAAACTCTGCACTTTCTACTTTTATGGTTTATTCAAATACCAACATAGAGTAGCCTTGAGATAACAACAAAAAAAAATCTAAAACTGTAATATCCCATCAAGATATAACCACTTATTACCCACCCACCCCTTAAAAAATAAGAGAAATGATAAAAGAGCTAAAATTATTGTCCATACATCTGGCATGAATAATTACAGTCTAGATAACTTAGTCATGCACAAGACTAAACAAAAAATATAGTCTCAGAGACTAGTAAATTGTACATTCATCTAGATTAAGGGTTTCAGTTGGGCACTGTGGCACACAACTATAACCCCAGCAACAAAGGATTGCTTGAGGTCACGAGTATAAAACCAGCTGGACAAAACAGTGAGTTCCTATCTCTTAAAAACAAATGAAAAAAAAAATTAGCTGAGTGTGGTGGTGCACATTCCTGAGTAGTCCTAACTATTCAGGAGGTTAAGGCAGGAGGATCCCTTGAGCCCAGGAGTTCCGGGCTACAGTGAGCTATGATGGCACCACTGCACTCCAGCCTGGGTGACAGAGTGAGACCCCATCTTTAAAAATAAATAAATAAATAAACAATGATAAGAGTAAGTATTCCAGAGAAGATCAAAGTAGAGGACTTTCATTATAGCCTGTCTTTCAGCCTACCTGGCAAAGAGCAAGTAGCCAATGAGTGTGAGATGAATTGAATCAAGTTCCCACAATATTCTTCATAATGTGTGAGTACGTACATGTGTTTTTGGAGCAGATCGAGTAGATATGTCCCTGGGTAAGACTGAAACATCAAAGCTGTGTATGTGTTGGGTGTAGGCCATTAGGATGAACGTACCAAAAATTTAACAGCAGAAGGATTTTAGGATATGCCATAGGTTTTTTTGGTTTTTGTTGTTATTGTTTTGTTTTTCAATAGCTCCTTGAAATATTAAGAGAAGGAGGGAGGAGAGAGAGAGAGAGAGAGAGAGAGAGAGAGAGAGAGAGAGAGAGAGGAGAGAGAAATTTCATGGAGATAAAAACTAGTATAAAAGAGTGTAAAGGTGAGGCAAATAAAACAAACATAAGAGGTGTCCACAGAAGTAACCTGTGGTTTAGGAGGAATAATCAGGGCAGGGCTGATCTTCAGATGAGAACTGATCTAAGTCTTGAGTTTAGTTTGGTTTTAACTAAAGCCCTGGCGCCCTCTAGCGGGACGACAGAGTAGTGTCTATAGCCGAGTGTGTTCTCTTCGGAACTGTGTTCTCGCTTTGGAATCAAAATTGTTTGTTTCCCTTTATATGTTTTAGATACCACGTTCCTTTTTATACTGAGTGTTTTTAATCTCCTCTTATTGAAGATCACATCCTCTTTATCTCTTAAGTGAAACCAGGAACTCTGCATTACCCCAGGGCTGAGGACAGTTGTGCTTAAGATACTTTTGTTTCAGTTTAGTCCCAGACTGTGAAAACATTTCAAATTTCTTAAGTAAATCCTTAAAAAAATCTAAGTTACACTAGAGAAGTTGGCCTGGTATTTAAATGAACTGCAACTTGAGAAATAATTCTAGGGGTTTCCACTCATTCCCTCAGAGAAGATTCCTTAGAATTTACTTCCATTGCTCTGAGAAATATCTGGTAAAGAGTTCTGATTATAACAGTAGTGGAAATAGGGGGCTGATGGTCCCAAATCAGCCCTATGGTATCCTCTGCTCCATCTGCATCTAGGTAAAGAGAGGGAGGGGTGTATGTGATCAAACGATTTGTTGAAGTGCTTTGGGCCGATGGCTAGACAGGTGGCATTTAATGTCTGCGAAGTCTGCTCGCCAATTATACCCTCTGTTTAGCTCCACTTCTCAGAATACACCAACTGGGGGCAACACTCGAACCCAGAGTTCTGTTATATAAAGATCCTTTGAAAATCCTGACAATCACAGACACCACCTAAGTGACCAGCTAATTAAAGAAGGAAACGCGGAGCTTGCCTTTGTGTACTCCATAAGCACCCATCGTCAGATTTAAGAATGAAAAGAGGCCACTATCATTGCTTTTAAAAAAGGAAAGGGGGCAGGAGACCGCACAATTTTAGAAATATCCTTGACCAAGTGGAATAATTTCAATGACGAAGTGGGACTGAAGAATAAAGAAAAAAAACCAAAAAACTTCTAATCGTGGTGCTTGGGAATAAGAAAGGAAGAGGAAACGCAAGTCAAAGCAGACTTTCTCCCACAGCAAAGGAAAACAACGGATTACGACCATTTCCTACTGGGACTTTGGAAAGGAAAAGGGGCTTGTTGGCCAGTGGGCTTTGCCTGCGGTCCCGCTGCCCCTCCTCCCCGGCGGGGGCGCGGCTGGTTCAGCACCTCGGAAAGCGCCCCCTCTCCGCGCGGGGCGACGCATGCTCCGTGCGGCCGCCGCCTCGGCAGTGCGGGTGCCAATGGCATTCCCGTGAGCGCGCAGGCTACCCACTCGGAGTGGACACCAGCTGAGAGACCGAGACACGCGCGCACCTCCAGGCAGCAGAGCGAGATGGGCAAAATCTACGAGCTCTTTCTCTCAAAGGACGGAAACCTCATCCAAGCAGCAACGGAGGAAACCGACAAAGGTATTTGCAAGAGGAGCGGCCCCACGCGCTCTTGAGCAGCCGGGTGAGTTATGCGCCAGTGCCCAAGTGACAGCGGGAAAGAGAGGCGGGAGGGGAGTCTGAGTTATAGAGTGGGAACCTGGAGACTCCGAACTTGGCCCGAGAGCCCTTATACGCCAACTTCTCTCCTGAGAAGCTGCACTCCTCAACTCCGCTCCAAAACAGAGGCTGAGCTCTACTCCTGCGCCCGGGGCGGTGCTGTGCGCCCGGACCGCTCACTTTGAAAGCTCCCGCGCACGCCCGGCGCGCTCACCTGGGGACAACACCCGGCGAACCGTGTTCCCTTACGTCTTGTTCCCCAGAAGCACCTGCGCATTCAAGTGGCTGCTGCAGCCGCGGTAACCACCATGAATAAGGCCACTGGAGGGGACAAGCTCGCAGAACTCTTCAATGTGATCCCAGACCTTCTGGAAGTGTCCAACACGAGTGGCAACGCGTCGCTGCAGCTTCAGGACTTATGGTGGGAGCTGGGGCTGGAGTTGCCGGACGGCGCGGCTCCGGGGCACACCCCAGGCGGCAGCGGCGGGGCAGCCAGCGCTGACACCGAGGCCTGGGTGCGGATCCTCATCAGCGTAGTGTACTGGGTGGTTTGCGCTCTGGGCTTGGCCGGCAACCTGCTGGTGCTCTATCTGATGAAGAGCAAGCAGGGCTGGCGCAAGTCCTCCATCAACCTCTTCGTCACCAACCTGGCGCTGACGGACTTTCAGTTCGTGCTCACCCTGCCCTTCTGGGCAGTGGAGAACGCGCTTGACTTCAAATGGCCCTTTGGCAAGGCCATGTGTAAGATCGTGTCCATCGTGACGTCCATGAACATGTACGCCAGCGTCTTCTTCCTCACTGCTATGAGTGTGGCGCGCTACCACTCGGTGGCCTCGGCTCTTAAGAGCCACTGGACCCAAGGACACGGCCGGGGGGAATGCTGCTGCCATAGGCTGCGGGACAGCTGCTGCTTCTCCGCCAAGGCGCTGTGCGTGTTGATCTGGGCTTCGGCCACGCTGGCCTCGCTGCCCAATGCCATTTTCTCCACCACGGTCAAGGTGATGGGCGAGGAGCTGTGCCTGGTGCGCTTCCCGGACAAGTTGCTGGGCCACGACAGGCAGTTCTGGCTGGGCCTCTACCACTCGCAGAAAGTGCTGCTAGGCTTCGTGCTGCCGCTGGGCATCATTAGCCTGTGCTACCTGCTGTTGGTGCGCTTCATCTCCGACCGCCGCGTGGTGGGGACCGAAAGAGGGGCCGCTGCAGCCGGGGGAGGCCTGGCCGGAGCCAGCGCCCGCAGACGGTCCAAGGTCACTAAATCAGTGACCATCGTGGTCCTATCCTTCTTCCTGTGTTGGCTGCCCAACCAGGCGCTCACCACCTGGAGCATCCTCATCAAGTTCAACGCAGTGCCCTTCAGCCAGGAGTATTTCCTGTGCCAGGTGTACGCGTTCCCCATGAGCGTGTGCCTGGCGCACTCCAACAGCTGCCTCAACCCCATCCTCTACTGCCTCGTGCGCCGCGAGTTCCGCAAGGCGCTCAAGAGCCTGCTGTGGCGCATCGCGTCCCCTTCGCTCACCAGCATGCGTCCCTTCACCGCCACTACCAAGCCAGAGCCCGAGGACCTGGGGCTGCAGGCGCTGGCGCCGCTCCACGCCACCGCCGAGCCAGACCTGCTCTACTACCCGCCTGGAGTGGTGGTCTACAGTGGGGGCCGCTACGACCTGTTGCCCAGCAGCTCTGCGTACTGACCCGGGCCGAGGCCGAGGGCGCGCTGTCGGGGCAAGGTGGCCTTCCCCTGGCGGGGAAAGAGGCGAACGGACTAGGGGACGCTGCCCCCTCCTACCCCCAAGCAAAAAGTAGGTGGGACGAGGATGGGGAGAAACGTGGAGAAGCAGCCTGTGCACAGGCCGGAGGACCTTCCCCGGAGAGGGAGTGCTGCGAAATCAGGTGAAGAGAGAAAGGGGTCAAAGGGGCGGGGATCAGCCCCACAGGGCCCGGCCGCCAGCCTTCGCTCCCCACCCCCAGCCTCTCCTTCCTCTCCTTCCTCCCCCACGGTGTGGGGGCACGCGAAGGGGAAGAGAATCATCGGGAACTAGAGAGATTAGGGCACAAGGGAGTGGAATGTAGCCAAAGGATGTGTAGACAATTGAGGGCATTTGTTCCAGCGACTTCTATGAAGCGCTTGAAAGGGCGCTCGAGGTGCATCCAGCCAGGGAGCCGCCCACACAACCTTTCCTTTGCGCGTGGCGGGTGCGCTGCACCAGCGCCAGGGTCTGACTTGCCGCGTGGCTGCTTCGGGGGCCTAGAGCTTGGAGGCAAGAAACCTTTTCGGTGTTGGAAGATAGGAGTGACCATCTTGGTCGTCCCCTGGGAGAAATAGCGAAGGAGAGGCACCTCCCATGGAGCCACCGCATCTTTTATCAACTCGGACTGGGTGAGCGGGAACTGGCTGAGCCGGACCAAGACTCTGCACGGCCTCTCTGGGCTCAGAAGTCAGCCGGGGGAAATACCAGTCACCAGCGTGGGAGAGCGATTCTCTGGACAGTGGCGTTGCTGAGGGAGGGAGCGGGTGCGGTGTGCTTAGAGGGGCTGAAAAGAGAAACCACTTCAGGCTGCTGCCCCTAAAGGGGAAAGGGGGCTCACGTGCTCACCGGGTAACAGAGCTGGAAGCCTGGGGGCTCCAGTTCTCCTGAGAGCGCCTGCGGTCCTGGAGGTACTGCGTGCTCTAGTCTGCGGCTGCAGGTGAGCTGGGCCCAGGAGCATCTTGAAAGCCCCACTGGGAGGAGGGGCATTTTTGCAGCTCCTCCTCCCTTTCCCCTTTGCTAATCGAAATCCCCCCTTTTTAGGCTCTGGACCAGGAAGTAGGGGAATGACTCCATTACTTTGGGGGGAAGGGGGGTTCGGGGAGTAGGCTTAGATAGAAGAGCCAGAAATGCTACAAGGGGTTCCTGGAAATCAAATTCCTAGAAGCTGGAGTCTGATTTTTCAAGAGGAGGGGTAGAGTGGGAAAGAGAATAGAAAACTCAAGTAAAATCTGTCCTAGTGGGAAGAGTACTGGAGACGCTGTTCTGAGGGTATCACCAGAACTTCAGGTGTGGGGGTCTTAATTGCTCATATTATTGACAAGAGAAGGTAAGAGATAAGAATTCTCGTTGGACACTGCCTTCACAAGGTTCATTTATTCTAAAGAGTGCTTTGCACATTGAGCAAGCATGATGAATTCTTCCCTAACCTCCAGTCTATGGGCTGTTTCTAAAGAGAGATTCATATTTCTCATGACTACTCTGGTCGGGTTGCAACAGTTTAAGATGTTAAAACCCTCACAAAGTCCTTTCTTGAGGCTGTTCTGAGAACTAGGATCAAACATCTGGCCATCTGCCAGCTTTGATAGAGGTGCTACTGTTCTCTTTGGCAACTTTGGGGTCAAAAAACTGGAAATGCAGGCACCTACTGGCATGGTTACTTTAATACAATAAATAATCACTAGAAAAACATATCTGTTTAAGTTGCCTCTTGAACAGTACAACTGTTTAGTAACTTGGTTAAGAATGTACTGTAGTATCTGAGATTTAAGGCTCAACTCCCACATCTCTTGTCCTGTTTTCTATAACACGACACAGTGCAATTACTGAAACTCATCCCTTCCACAAAAACAAAACAGCCTGATCTCAATCCTGAGCAATCTTGAGAAGTTTAACTATTTTAGGAAACAGAATAGTGGTTTTGCCTTGAAATAGTGAAATTCATTTTTCTTTGCCTTTTCCGGAATAAAACTTATTGACATTGAATAGCAATTGGGCCTGGAAAGATTGTAATGTAAGCCCCACAAGTCCCCAAAGTACAAAATAAACTAAAAAGTAAACACTGGAAAGAACTAACAGTAATATGGCAGCATATCCATATATATCACTGATATTAGACTCTTACTGAGAGATTCTTATTAAAGCAACTTGCCATTTTGATTCTGACAATACAGTAATGTGTAGGTAGCTCCAAATTCTTAGGGAAGTGTGTTGAACTGTGTACTTCTGCTACTACAGGCACTAGAAAAAAGAAGGAGCTGGAGGCAAGGTCTTCATGAAAAAAAAACAAAAAACAAAAAAAACTCTATGAAAAGGGTCACCTTGTCCAAATCCAAAGCTGAGAGCTTCTGAGAACGTGTCAGGAGGGATCAAAGACCATGACTGCTGTCTACCACAAGGACAAAAGTATCAACAAGGAAATGGTCAAATCAGTTGAAATCAGCAGTTACTTTTTGAGTGCCTGTTGTATGCCAAAGCCTGTGCTGGGTGCTGAGGTTGCATGCATGAACCAGACACAGTTCTGACTTCTACGTATAGACGGACAGACAGCCATGGTCACAGTACTGTAAGACAGGGAACAGTGAGTAGAGTGACACGGTAAGGCTAAAAGAAAGTACTATGGGAACACAGAGGAAGGAAAGATTGGTTCTGCTGGGGAGTCAGAGACTTCCTGCTCAAAATACAATTTGAGATGGGGCTGGAAATATGGGCACAATTTAGGCAGAATGGAGGCTGGGCTGAGGAGGTAGAGAGGGCATTTGAAGATGAGCAAATGTGGTGACCAAAGGCTTTGAGGTTAGAATGTCAAATGCATGGTTGGGGAAGCAAGAAGCAAAGCCGTGGGAGAAACTCCCTTTCTCCTGGGAGTTCCCAGGATTTCTATCTAGAACAGATGTGTCCCTGCATTTGTTTTGTTTGTGTGGGAACAGGACTTATTTTTGCCAGAAAGAACATGTCATTGGTATACTGAAAACAAATACTTGGGTCCCCAAAGGTGGTTAAAAGCTTTTTAAATCGGATTCCATCCAGTCATTCAAACCTCTATGATAGAGTTGAGTTCAATAAGTGTTTGCATATTTGAATGGCATGTGTGTGTTCATGTGCTTGTGTGTGTGTGAGAGAGAGAACATGCCTGCTTTAGCCCCCTTCCTCAGCCCTATAGCCTATCCAATGTTCCATCTAAAAATAACTTCACTTGTAATCAAGCCTGTGCCCCTTAGTTGGTCAAGGAGGGCTATGTTTGAGTCCATGGGGGTCCAGGTAGGAAGGCCCTCAGCTGTGGGTCACCTTCCCAGCTTGCCCATCCATTCATTTCCGAATCTTCACACACCGAAAGGGTACTTGGACAAATGTTGGGGAAATAAACACTAAACCTCACAGATGATTCCATTTCTAAACCTTGCAGAGGCCAGGCAGGAGAAGCAACAGAGGTGGTTTGGTGCTGTTTCCTTTGTCATGCTGAGGGCTGTGTGACATGAGGTCCTCTGAGCTATGGGTTGGGAGCAGGTGTTTTTCCTGATCACTCCTCTAAGTCAGCCATGAACTGTTTCTCCAGGATGGATGGAGGAGAGGGGAAAGACTGGGGGAGGTAGGGTGGTTTTGCATATGCTCCATGAGAAGAATGAGATGATTTCATTTGGGAGTGACTGTGCTAATAGATTAGGGGGACTTGACTAGGGGCAGAAAATGAGAAGTCCCTGTGCAGAGAGGAGGGGAGCATGGCTTGGAGGTTGATACGTGAAACGACAGCACACTCAGGCCTGAGAAGACAGCCTAGCCTGCTCTGGAGAGCACCGGGGATCTGGGGAGAATGGGGTCAACTGCAGGAGCCTGGGGCACCTAGTGTGCGATGAGGACGCTGCATGTCCCGGGTTCCGCTGGTGATGAGGGTGAGTGGTGTGCAGGAAGAAGTGGCGCTTCATTTTAAGTCCCCTGCCCTCCACCCTCCCGTCCCCCTCACACACAGAGCAGAAGTGGCCAGATCCAGAGGGGAGCCGAGATGCCTGCCCCACTGAGCACCCCGGAGTCACAGGTGTGATAACCAGGGAGCAGCTAGAGCAGGCTCTTTAAACAAACAGGAGGCAATCAGGAGAATTGCAGCAGCAAAGCAAAGCGGAAGCCCCAGCAGGAGCAAGGAGAACAGTGAGTGTGAGACATCAGGGATCAGCCTTTTGAGACCGTGGGAGAGATGAGGAAGGGGAGGGAGGCTGCAGTCCAGACTGACAATGGATCCGCTCCGGGGCTGAGCTCTTAGGCTGGCAGTCTTTGGTAGAGCTGCCCTTAGACCTGGGCAGCCAGGGCCCCTGCCTGGGTTTCATCGTTAGAGGGCCTCGCTCTGCCCTTGCACCTTCTCCCACCTTCTAGATTATGCTCCAGTACCTGAGACCTCAGAATTTCCCATCCAAAAATTCCCCATCCAAATGGCTCTGAGTCTATTTACAAGGACTTCTTGTGTCCCTTCCTGAGTCCACCCTAACCAGAGGCCAAACCAACCACTGCATCTGTGCCCCCTTAGGTGCGAGGGGTGCCTGAGGGGGTTCATTTGTTGGGGTGGTAGAGGGTGGAAGGGGTGGAAGCCCATGGGTGTGCTGACACCAAAGTGCACACCGGAGTCTCCCGGTGCTGGACAGAGAAGAGTGGGAGAAGCAGAGAAGAGGGATGGGCTGTGGGCGTGGTTTCCAATCATACTCCTGCCGCTGCCCCTGCAAATGCTAGGCGTGGGCCTGCACCCCTTGTACACCTGACAGTTGTGTGAAAGAGGACCCACAGCCTGCCAGGGAACGGTGCCTGCTTTCTCTTCTCAGGAGTGCTACCCCAAATGAGCTGGCACGGCAAGGGCCTGGCCATGCTACCCAACCCAACCATTCTACTGTGCACTAGGCAAACAAAAGCAACACTTTAAATCCCAAATGTCCCAGCTCTCAAAAGTAGCTCATGCCCTTTCTCCCAATTGCTGTCCAGCACCAAAGGTTGTGGTCAGTTAGAAGTTCACCTGAGGCAATGACTATCCTATAGGACTCTGGATGAAGTAGGAGAAGGAACTACACAATTCCTTTAACTTCTAAACATGCGTGGGCCAGTCTCTGTTCTGTACTGATCGGGCAGATCTGGAGTCATGTAGGCAAACACGTAAGCCTGGGGCAGATTTAGGGATGAGAACGGAAGTTGAGCCTTATCACTAGTGACAATAGCTGGCTCCCACTAGGTGCCAGCCACCAGGCTAAATGCTGTCTGTACACAAAGCAGCAGAACCAGAGAGCCTGGGTTCAAAGCCTGGTTTTTTCTCTCTAAAGCTGTGTGGCTTCAAATGAGTTATACAATGCCCCTCTGCCTCAGTTTCCTCACCTACAAAATGCAGATCAATAACAGCACCCGCTCCCAAGATTGCTGTGTTAACACAAGTACGACACTTAGTAAGCACTCCATATGTGTTATGTTTCAATCGTCACAGCTCTCTGAGATAGGATTTTTTTTTATCCCAAATGTACAGATTAGCAAGCATAGCTTAGGGAGGCTTAGTAGTTTGCAGCTGAGTGGCAAAGCCAGGATTCAAAACCTGCTGGTTCCAAAGCTCATGACTTTTATTAAACCATGCTGTCTCCCGAAGGCTGCTGAAACCCTCAGCACGAGAGAAGCCATTGAAGGGCGTGGTTAGAGAAAAACTGCTTAGCTTGGAGGAGAGATCATAGGAGAAATGAGAGGCTGCTTTTTGGCTTTTACATCGACTTCAGAGGATGAAACAAGGGAAATACAGAGTAGTATTTTTACTGTGTCAGTGAAATGAACTGTTTTTAAGTGGTGAATGCTCCAGCATGAGATGTTCCAAGCAGACTTGTCGGGGGTACCATAAATTAATAGGAATTAACTATAAGCAAATTAAATATAAATAAATTAATATAAATTATTAGCAATATTTTGAATATTTGTGAATTTAGTGACGTATATGACTTCCCAACTACTATATATATGAATCCTTGGTTAAAAAAATAAAAATCGTGTCATAGAACACATCCATGCATCATATGTCGGATGAGTCTGCTTCTCGGGTCTCATGAAGCCTGAAATGTCCTGTGGGAAACAGACCCAGCCTCTACTAGCCCTGCGCCAAGATGCAGTGAGGAAGGCATGGGTAGGTGCTACCACCAGTGGGTGGAGACACAGCCCAGACAAATGATGCCTGGAATATGGGGACTGTTGTGCAGAGGACTGGCTGAAAGTGAAAGGTGGCCAGATAGCATGGTGAAGTCACAACACTGGGCATCCAGTGGGCAGACCTTAAAGATGCAGAGATCCAGAAAAGACTGACTTCCTGCCATGTGCCCCACTGTGTCTGAAGTTAGGGTCAATGTCTCTTTATTGACCTAATCCGCGTATCTCACAAAGAGAGCCACAAAGCAACAGCCGATCAGTGCCACTGTGGAGGATGTGATCACCACGACGACGACGCTCCCAGCCATGTTGACCAGAAAGCCCAGGCCACCTCCGACCAGGATCTGAGCCAGCTGCACCATGCAGGTGAGGGCGGCACAGTCCACGCCCTTCCCTCTCCCGCTGCTGCCCGGGCCCCCTCCGGTAAGCTGCTGCCTCTGCAAGGGAAGCACAGGCACAGTGTTTGATCTGCAAGGAATCTCCATTTAGGGAAAAGCTCTGCAAACTATTTCTGTAAAGAGCCAGGTAGGAAATACCTTTGGCCTTGTGGGTCACCCAGTCTTGGTTGTAACTGTCCCACTCTGCTATTGTGCAAAAGCAGCTACAATGTGTAAATGAACTGATACTCCAATATAACTTTATGGACATTGGTATTTGATTTCATGTTATTTTCACTTGCCACAAAATGTTATCCTTCTTTTGAATTTTTCTCAATCATTTAAAAATTTGAAAGGAATTCTTAGCTCATGGACTGTACAAAACCAGGTGGCAGGCCACATTTGGTCAGTGGGCCATCGTTTGCCAACCCCCGACTTAGGGCCATGGGGGAGCCCCAACCTCCTGCCTGATGCTGTTTTCTTTACCTGTGACAAAGTCTTAAATTCCACCATTAACACATATGAAGGTTAAATGGTTAATAAGTGCAATAATATCTCTAAGAAGCCAATAAATACATGTAGTAGAAACTCAAAAACTCCCATTCTTTTCCTTCCTTAGTGTTAAAAATTCAAATATTTTCAGAAGGATATTGAATCACTGATACTTAAGGGAAGCAACATCAAAAAGCATTTCAACTTTTAAAATATTGTTGGTATTTGGTTAATATATTAATATTTGTTTAATATTTGATATTTGGTCTGAACTGGTTGATACTTTGCCATTTATTAGTAGCTATTAGGTGCTAGGCCTGCACAAGGTTGTTTTGTTACTTTGTTTCATTCTCACTGTCCCTCTAGATGTACATATTAGTATCATTATCCCCATGACAACAATAATAATACTAGCTGCCATATTTTGGGTCTGTGTTGGGTGCTAGGTAGGCACTATGGGAAGCACATTACACACACTATCGTGTTTAATTTTCTGACAACCCTATAAAGTGGGTATTATAATTTCCATTTGCCTCATAAGGAAACTGAGGCTCTGAGAGTTTGCTGTTTTTCTAAACTATTAAGTTATTTTAAAAAAAAAAGCTTTGTGCATAAAAATGCATTTATCCTTTGAGTAAGAAGGGGGAAAAGGAAAATTATACTTGTTTGATTATCATTAAGTAATCCTGGCAAAGTAAACAGAATGCTAATGAGTGACAGTATGCCAGGCAGAAGGGAGACAGGAGAGTGTGGAGGGGACCACATCACAGTGTGCCCTTCAGCCTGTCACTGGGGTTGTTGAACCATATGTACATATTACTTCATCTAAAAATAACTCATTCTTACTGCTACTTAACAAATAAGTTACATCCCCAGTGTCACCCAGCTTCTGAGTGGGAGAGCCCAGATCTGAATCCAGCTTTCTCCAAGTCCAAATCATGGGTGTTTCTGCCTTACTGTCCTCAGAGGGACAGTTCTTTAATGCCAACACCCCTGCCATGCACTGGGACATTAGTGACAATATTTGCCAGGGCATGTGGACAGCCACAACTCCTGTCTGAAAGATTCTAACTTCTGGTGTGGCTCTGCCCAGCTGCCGGATCGGATGGTGGGAAAGAAGGTCAGAATTGAAGCCGTGTGGACGCATGCTCAATGTTTTCGCCGTTTCACACTGGGATGGACTGAAGGCGATGTTATCTCTGTGCCTGTTATTAATACACTGCTGCTCCAGTTAAGGAACTGCAAGCCTATTTCCATCAGGGAGAAAGCTGTACATGTTGATAAGAAGAGGTGGTAAATTTTTTTAGCAGAAATACCCAGATTTAGTGTTCTTACAAGGACTGCTTAGGCTCTTTTCTGTAGTCCAGTTCCAGGATGGAGATGGAGCAGGACCCCCTCAGAGCAGCCCAGTGGAGAGGCCACCGTGGCCCCAGCTTTCCTCTTTGCACACAGAGTCTGACGCACTAAAACCGGATTCCCAAGGACAACATTGTATGGGAATTTCTACCCTCAACCAACAACTTCCAGAAATTCCAGCGTGCACCTCTGCAGTGGCTGGGGGCAGGGGACGTTCCCTGTGGCATCCAGAACTGCCCGTGCACCAGGGAGACCAGGGGTGTTTGTAGCAAACCTGGGTCCTCCTTTCTTTAGCTCTGTGTGATTGGCGGCTGGTTTCTCAGCATCACCAAGCCCCTTTTTCCTAATCGGACAGGTGGGAATCACACTCCTTCCCCTCCCGCTCCCCAGGTGCACTGTGGTTAGAGTAAGGCGGAGGGGAGGGCTGGGCTGTGGGCAGGCTTGCTCCAGACTGCAGTTATGATTGGTGGGGCATTTCAATGCTGCTGTTTTGAGAACACTTATCTCCCAGCTCTGCTCTACACGTTCCTACCAAATCGCCCCTGGCCTTCAGGTGAGTCTGGGTGTTACCCAGGGCAGAGGTTCAAATGACAACACACCTCTTCCTCCTCCTCCCGGTGGTACTCAGCAATGAGGTTAAAGGGCACGGTGTACAGGGTACTAGACATTACACCAAACAGGGAGCACAGGACCAGGGTAGAGTAGAGATTTGGGAAGAGCCCGA